CATGCCAAAATAACCCTCTCTCTCCCCCCCCCTGCCCCCAGGCCCTCCGTCTATGTCAGGGGGGAAGACCGGCGGGGTCTCGAGCCACAGGAAGGGCTACACAGTCATGCCCTATGGATTCTGGGCAGCCAGAGGTTGTCTTTTGCTTCCCCATTGGCCTGACACCCCTGTGGGGCGCAGGAGGGTTTTACTCTAAGCAAGCTGAGAAACTGGGGGTCAAAGAGCATCTGTCCCCAGCAGAAAGGAGCGGGGGAGCCAGGTTTGGGCAGGAGAGCTGGGCTCAGAGGCTGGCAGCGAAGGCCAGGCACTCACCAGATGAACCAGGGCCTCTTGCAGTCAGTTCGTTAACCTCTGCAGTGCCCCCGAGAGGAACCACGGGCTGTGCTCCGGGGGGGTAGGAGCTGGGGTAGCAGGGCCGGCTGCGACAGATGCTCTGATACTGAAGGGCTTGGGGCTGCACTTGGCAAGCGGCGGCTGGAGCGTTTAAAGCCTGGAGGCTGCTCTCAAAGCAGCTCCGTGCACCTTAGATAGATGGGCTGAGAGCCAAGACGGAGTCACCGAGGTATTTAAGTCTTTAATTCACGAAGGTATTTATGTCCTCGACTTGCAGAGGTTCCTATGAGGGGGTGAGACCTGCTTATGCCTTTCTGGGTCTGGCCCTAAGTGCAGTGGGCAGAGATCAGGGTGGAGCCTACGGCTTCTTCATAGAATCACAGACAAGGAGGGTTGGAAGGGACCTGTCCACCCCCTGCTCCAAGCAGGACCAGCCCCAACTCCATCATCCCAGCCGAGGCTTTGTCTGCCCGAGTCTTCAAAACCTCCCAGGATGGAGACTGCGCCACCGCTCTGGGGAGCCTGCTCCAGCACTTCACCGCCCTCCTCCGGAGAGAGCTTTTCCTAATATCCAACCTCAACTTGCCTTTAAATCTGCAAACACAGCTGAAATTTGTGATCAGAGCCCCCCGCAGCCATTGCAGAAAAATTCAGTTGAGTCCAATGTTTCCGCTGTCCACACCAGAGCGAGTGCGGGCTGTTGTCTACAAGGGCGGCAGCTGCTTCGCCTGCCAAGGTGCTGGAGCGGGATAGTGTCAAACCGTCGCTGGCCTCGTGTTTTCCACGTGGGGCGTTGCGGGAGGGGGCTGAACCGTGGCCGCGCTGGAAGAATGGCCCCACGGCCATTGTTCTAGACTGGGCAGCGCCTGCCGTCCCGTCGCACAGAGGTGTGTGAGCCTCGCGGGCCGCGCTGACCCAGCAGCAGTGCTTCTCTTGCGCGCATAGTCTCACACTCACAGTCTTGTATGCACCTTCTCACGCATGCATGCAGTCTTACACATGTTCACACATACATGCTTGTGCACACTCGTGTGCTCAGATGCAACTATTCACTTGTGCATACGAGCTTCCGCTCATCCAGCCCTGCGCACTCACACTTGTGCAGGCACGTGCACTTGTGCAAATAGATGCACTCTCATGTCCATGCATGCTCTTGCACGTGCTTTTGTGCACTCATGCACACTGCCACAAACACGTGCCCACAGTTGTGCAGGAACTTGTACATTCCTCTATGCATGTTTTTGTGCACTTGTGTGTGTCTACACTCACTCATGCACACACATGCATGTGTCCACTCATGCGGGCACATGCACCCTTGCATGCGTGCATATGCCCACACTTGTACATGCACGCATTTTTTTGCACTCCTGCACGCACTCACACATGCTCACACGTTCTTGTGCAGATGCATTTGTGCACGCACACATGCACAACCCAACCACACGCCCACGCAGCGCGAGCAGGTGCACATGTTGTCATTAGGCTTCAGGGTTAACGCGGTGAGAAGAACCCCGTGGTTCCTCCCCCCCCCCCCCGGCCTTGCACCCTCGAAGCATGTTGCAGGACGGTGGAAGGCGCAAAGCCCGCCGGGTGGGGTGGGGCGGGTCACTGCTCCCTTGGCGCCAGCGACCGTAGCCAAGCAGTTCCCCCACGTGCTGCCTTTGACCTTCGCCGTCTTCCACTTCCGCCTCCTGCCCACTTCCCTGATTGGCCCGGGAGCCCCTCGTCCCGCCTCCCCACTCCGCGATTGGCCGGTTTCCCCGGCCCTCCGCATCCCCATTGGCCGATAGTGCGTCTTTTCCCTTAAGCCCCGCCCCTTTAGTTTCTTCACCATTGGCCCGGGGAATCCAGAGGGGCGGGACTCGCCGCGACTCCAGCTTCTCGGATTGGCTAGCGCCGCGGGAGGGGGCGGGGCCGGCCCCGGCGGCCCGCGCCCTGATTG